CATGCTTGCTGGACAAGTTGAATGACATCTGCTACTACCGGCGGGTACCATATAATCATGATATGGAATGATTCTCGCATTTTCCCGAAGTCTGACTGTTTATACTCACTGTAAAAAAAAATAACCACAAAATATCATGTTAATAACAAAAATATTTTTATAGGACCTAGTTAGAAGAACTTCGGGTTATTCAGTTATTATACAGTACATTACATGTATTTCAGAATCTAGAGGAAATCCTGGCAACAGAATTAAATTTGTACATTTATAAATATCAGGCGCCGTTTATAGGTCCGTTTATGTGTAGTATATTGTAGGAATTTTCTTCTAGATTTTTTTTCCAATAAGTCAATCCTTATTTTATTTAATGTCGCATTTCTATTTTCTTTTGTGGTTTTACGATTCAAAAGTGTGCATGAATTTAAAGGTACATAGAAACTGTTCAAAAGTTGCGTCGGGTGACGACTTTTGATTGGAAATCCGGGTGAATTACTTTCCGAAATTATTACAGAACCATAATATTCAGATAGGAAATTTTCTCAGCTTTCTCATAGTGTATGTTGCATTAAAATGTTTCTATTACTTACCGTAGAAAAATTGACTTCTTTCCTTTAAAACGGAAATGCATAAACTTCTGCACATTGCATTGAGATGCAACATCAACAATGTTGATGTTCAAAATGTAAGCTTTCCTCTGATAGGTCAATGTCGTTAATTCCTTAAAAATCGCCTCCCGGAAAGCCAATCAAAATGATGCTATCAACGCCGCGGAGACAAAACTACAGTGCCATGCATTAAAGGGAAAACCCCGTAATCAACTTTAGCACAACTTCGACCGCGTTAATTTTTTAATGCAAACTCTTCAGAATGACATAACACACATATCATACGAAAGTTCAAACAATGTAGAAAAAATTCATTATATTTTATTTCTAGATAAATATGAATAAAAATGCAAAAATTACGTTTTTAAACGTTGATAAATTGTGTTTAAATGGCACGATTACATAGGTAAGTCGGGTTACCTGAACCCCCTAATGTTGAAGCAATTTGTAAAATGCCCCCATTGGATTGACAACTGCCCATAACTGGGAAGAGATATCCAACATTTCTGAATTTCATAGCAACATTCAATCATTTTTCAATTTTTTTCATTAAAAATCTTAATAGTTTATTTTGTGAAATTGAAAACTAAACTTCTCAGATATGAATGCAAATTTAGGAAAGCAATGAAAATATTGATTGTAAATTTGCCAAATTTAAATGTTTACAAAAATGTGTGAACAATTTAAAAATTTGACATTGTGAAAATAAATTTGATCTCCAGAAAGTATTTACTTTCCTGGGGTACTTATTACCCCATAATGGAGTTTCTATTGTATTCTACGGGGTAGTGTTAAATTTCTGCTTGTTTTAAAAGTCTAAGTTGGATCCGTTCACTGCACTTCAGATACAAAATATCGACAGATTAAATGATATTGCCAACAAAAATCTACCAGCCCATTAAACAAGGGAAGACTTTCTATACACCAAACAATTGCCTTTGTTAGATGACAAATTTCTCTTGTAGATATGTTCTTGCTTGCACACACTGCCATGACAACGTTTAATGTCCAAATTTCGAAAAATTGAGATGATAGGGCTGAAAGAAGTAGCTTGCAATGCTTTAATTTATTTTGCTGTTATACAGTTAAATCTTGAGAACATGCACTTAAAAATAGGATATAGTTTTTATACATTTCAGTGACAATCAAACTGTAATCTTGATGAATTCTTTTTTAAATGTAGTTATCAGTCAAGGCTGATAAGAAATTTATTTGATAAATAAACCTGGTAAAAGAATGTAGAAAGCAAGTGTAAGTAAAAGTCTGCTGATTGTGTTGACACCGTCTGAGGATTACATCTTATCTAAAGCAGGCTTATTAATGGTGGGTCAGATATGATATAACAGGAGACTTAATCTGTGTCCATTGTTGAGTTATCTATAACCTCATTTCCTGATAAAGATGGTGAATTATTGATATTGTCCAACAGGTGTTCAGGACAACCTCTCAGATTTTCATAAGTAACAGATATGGTTCATGTGTTGTTAGCCCCCAGACAAAGTTAAATGAAACGAGGAATGAAAATTTTTAATTATTGATGAATACCATACTTGGGTGATTTGGTCCTTGATTTTCTTAACAGTGATGAACCTAAAAATAATTTAAAACTCATATATTTCAGTTTCATGTTAATTGTAATTTGTATAATATAAAACATGAGGTATAAGACTTTGAAAATGGGACAGTCTGACATTCTAAAGTATATTTTTTCTTTTGGCATATAAAATATACTATATGCACTTGTGTATGTAGAATTTTTATGAAGTATGCCTACATGTATGCCCCACTTGTTTAGCTTGTAGGAGGCTTGATTAATTAACTCCTACATGATGTGTTTTTGATGGTGCTAATGATGCTGTCACTTTTATACATGAACTACATGATAAACTGTTAACAAGACATAAAAGGTTGTTAATACTTGTAGATAAACTAGGGGGCTGTGAACACCTATGATTGTACTTTGTTGTAGATAAATCTTTTATAACTTTATTAGGATACCTTCATTAGACATTTAGCATGTACACTGAAGGTATAAAATTAATATACATATTCATTCATCATTAGTAAGGCCATAATAAATAAATTGCTTAGTAGATTCTCATTCGAATTTTTTTAAAAATCGAGGCGGGCAGGCGGCTTTTGTTTATATTTTTAGGTCACCTGAGTCACTCAGGTGACCTATTGCTATCTGTTTTTGTCCGTCGTCGTCCGTCGTACGTCGTTCGTCGTACGTCGTTCGTCGTCAATCGGTCGTAAACTTTTGAACATTTTCAGCTTCTTCTCCGCAACCACTGAACCAATTTCAACCAAATGTGGCACACAGCATCTCTGGGTGAAGGGGAACAAAAATTGTGAATTTCATGAGCCCTGCCCCCCTGGGGCCTGGGGGGTGGGGCCAAAACCACTAAAATTAATGCAATCTTCAAAAATCTTCTTCTTTACTCCTGGACATCAAGCAGTCAAACTGTTTGCATGATTGTAATCAGCATTGAGTCCTTTACCAAAATTGTGAAATCCATGGCCCTGGGGTCAGGGGTTCTTGTACTAGGGTGGGGCTAAATAAGTATATAGTGAAAATGAATTATTTCTTTGAAAATCTTCTTCTCTGCTCCTGGGTATTAAATAAACTAACTAAGTACATAGTTATGATGAGCAAGAGTGCCTCTACCAAAATTGTGAATTTTATGGCCCCAGGGTCAGGGGTTCTGGTGTCAGGGCGGGGCTCTATTGATTATATAGAGGAAATACATGAATTCTTTGAAAATCTTCTTCTTTACTCCTGGGTATTAAATAAACTAACTAAGTATATAGTTATGATGAGCAAGAATGCCTCTACCAAAATTGTGAATTTTATGGCCCCAGGGTCAGGGATTCTGGTGTTAGGGCGGGGCTCTATTGATTATGTAGTGAAAATACATGAATTCTTTGAAAATCTACTTCTCTGCTCCTAGATTTTATATAATTTAACTAAGTACATAGTTATGATGAGCAAGAGTGCCTCTACCAAAATTGTGAATTTTATGGCCCTAGGGTCAGGGGTTCTGGTTTTAGGGCGGGGCTCTATTGATTATATAGTGAAAATACATGAATTCTTTGAAAATCTTCTTCTCTGCCCCTAGGTTTTATATAAACTAACTAAGTACATAGTTATGATGAGCAAGAGTGCCTCTACCAAAATTGTGAATTTTATGGCCCCAGGGTCAGGGGTTCTGGTGTCAGGGTGGGGCTCTATTGATTATATAGAGGAAATACATGAATTCTTTGAAAATCTTCTTCTTTACTCCTGGGTATTAAATAAACTAACTAAGTACATAGTTATGATGAACAAGAGTGCCTCTGCCAAAATTGTGAATTTTATGGCCCCAGGGTCAGGGATTCTGGTGTTAGGGCGGGGCTGTATTGATTATACATGTATAGTGAAAAAACATTAAATCTTTGAATATTTTCTTCTTTGCTCCTAGGTTTTAAGCAGATGAATTACCTATATAGTTATAAGCAATCCCTAATCTTCAAGAATTGTAAATTTCAAGGCCCCAGGGTCAGTTGTACCATAGTGGGGGGGGGGGGGCTGTACTTATGTACTGAAAATGAATGAATTGTTTGAAATGTGCTCCTTGGTATTAATCAAATATTTTTGAAAAGCAAGTATGCCTTTCCAAAAATAGTGCAATGTGTGGATCTAGGCCTAAGAGTCAAGGGTTCATGTGTGGTAGTGGCACTACTGATTATTGCTGAATATTACTGATTAGTTGAAATGCATTTTTTGTTCCCCTACCCTGCCTATGGGTATAAAGTAACCAAACTAAGGAACTGCTAAGTGTATAGTTATGATGACCAGATGGTAAATGCTATAGCATCTGGCTTAAAACATGGATCAAATTCAGTCACTGGGAAGTTGTTGAATAATGCTCAGGTGACCTATAAGGCCCAGGGGCCTCTTGTTTAAATTTTGCAGATTTTTTATTGAACTGGTCAATCGGTGTTATTTTATCTACAATACCCGAATAAAAGTCATAGTAAAGGTTCAGTTATCTCTTACTTCACATCATCACCAATCTTTTTCAACCAATGACCTTGTTTAAAATATATACGCATGTATTACAGCAATTACCATTTTTTCAGCTGTCAAAATCATATCGACTTTTGCGGGATATAAAACGAAAGTAGAATGGTAGATGAATACCGATCCTGATCAGAATTAAGACGAAGAAAAACAGAAATAAAAAAAATCAGGCAGGGGTATAAAATCGGGGCGGGTGGGGATGAGAATCTAGAAATATTTTTATTATGGCCTAACAGAGAAAAGAATTTAGACGTTTGTAAAGGAAATATTGTTTTCTTTATATCTGTAACGTTTAAAATTATTCATTTTAGGTTTTTAACTTATAAAAGTTTATGGGTTGCGAAGCAAAGGTGACCCCCCCCCCCCCCCAAAAAAAAAAAAAAAAAAAAAAAAAAAACTGAAGAAGTTTAACTATCAAGACTTCTAAGTATGTTCTTTTAAAACAATTTTTACTTTCTGATTCTTGCAGGTAAAATTTGCCCTTCTTGATGAAAGAGATATTGGTCTCATCAACCAGTATGCATTTGAGGTAATATTTTATCAATAATACCACCTTTTTAGTTTGAAAGGGTTGGGGGAAGAGGATTGATTTTTTTCTTTGATAAAATAAGGCTAAGATATTGTACTGTAAGTTTAAAGTCCCTGTTTGAACAGATAGATTGTTCAGTTTTATATCAAAGATTTAAATCCAGAACAGATAGCAGTATTTGTTGCTAAGACATGTAGGATCTAATCGATGCAGTTCTTGAATCAGCTAGCAAATTGTTCATACTTGGGCACTTGACAAAATTAATTTAATTTTTGTTGCTAAATAGTCAGGCATGTTTAGTAAATTATTACTGTAAAAGTAGAAATATTCGTTTGGGATTTAATTTAGTAATTAAAAATTATTAATGAAATTAAATCCCACATGATATTTATGTGACTGTATATATAATAGGGTTACTCTCGAAACACTGAAATTTAATGCCCATGAAATTTTCCAAAACTTAATTTTTCCCCCTCAGAAATTTGTGCTTCTATAGTATTCACTACCTTGAAGATTTAAAGGATAAAGATTTTACAGTTGGGACCATTTAGAGAGAAAAGATGACATGTTTTTGAATGTATAACATTATTTTTCCCACATTGTATGGCAGACATAAGAGACCCTGTTTTCAATGTCTGTCTGTGTGTCCATGCAGTAGAAGTTACTTTTCCACCCAAAAAAACCTCAGAACTGTTATTTCAATTTTTTGAAAAACTATATAAAATGATGAATCTAAGTATATTTTTATATATTTCAAAATTTCATATCCTCCAGAACCACTGAGCCAATTCAACCGAATTTGTCTCAAAGCATCTTAAGATTGAAGAGTATACAAATGAAGGTCACATCTGCTTTCTAGGGGGAGATGATTAAGAATTGGTGAAAACTTAATTGTAAATCTTCTCTATAACCCTTAGGCTAAAAAGGTTTAATCTTGTATGAAAGCTTCATTACATAGTATAGATTTGAGTCTGTTCAAATTTTGACCCCTGGGGTAGTTTGGGACTGTAATAAAATTAAATAATTTAAAGTCTGTAGATGATCATTAGTTTTCATGACATCTAATTTTTCATGAGAAAGATAATTACTATTTTAAATCGAGGCGAAATTTTCAGTAATTCTAAGTTATTGTTGTATATATTTGCTAATAAAAACATGTGCAAGGATAAGATTTTTGTGAGCAGAGTGTCCAGGGTAATTATGTGAAAATTAAGTTCTGGGAAAGTAAAAGTTATTTACAGTAGTTTTTGAAAACTGATGTTCAGCTATTAGCAGAATTTAAAGTAAAATTCACAAACTTGTACACATGAGTAAAAAAATATTATTGAATGTTTAAAGTAATTTATTTTTTTCATTTTTCAGGCCAGAGTAGAAGTTGATCCAGATGGCAATGGTGCCAATATCTTTGCTTACACATACAATTTATTGAATGGGAAGGAATCAGGCCAATTTCTGCATGATTTCTTATGGTAATATGTTTTATATTTAAAAAAAAATCTCTTAATAAGACAGTACTGATTTGGAATAAATATTTTCCCCAAAGCATTCATTGGTTTTTCAAACAAGGTTTGCTAATTGTTTCAAATTAAGAAGTTTTCAATGGAGATAAAGGAAAAAAAAGCAAGATTGCCATTAAAAATAATACCTTTTTAGCTGTTAAACAGTCCTGCAGTGTGATATTCAGGTGACTGTTGAAGGCCTTGGGCCTCTTAATTAAGCATATATAGATATATTATATAAGAAGATTATTTTCGTAATTTTCATTGGCTGAAAGAACGTCACGTGATTTTCCTCCTTTTATGATGTCGACGCGAAAGCACGTCCACGGAAAATGATATCGCATGCCACCTTTCAGTTGCACCAAAGTTACGTAGAACGTGAAGTCATAATATAAGAGGCGTGTTTTAACCATTGTGACATAATGACAGCCGAGTCTGTTCAGTTAGGACTGTGTCATTGCATTCACTTTGACTGATTATTTAATATAACTATTATGGACTTCAGTGAATGGTCAATATGTGGTTATAAGGACTTGTGGCAATATTGATATTGACCTCAAGTACAGAAAATGATAGTGACCTTGCAGGCTCGGTCACTATCACTTTCTGTGTCTTCAGTCAATATCAATTGCCATGAGTCCTTATAACCACATATCGACCTACACTGAAGTCCATAATTGTATGATATGTTCATATATAACAGGGCTTTACGCAAAACAAAATGAATCATTGTTAATACATGTATGTACCATTGTACATGGATGTAATGAGGTATTGGACTCTGCTGTTAGATAACACTGTCTCTACTAAATGTAAATGGATAGAGTATATTACATCAGTAGCACAAGTTCCTTCTTCCTTGATATAATCTTCTTTGTACACAGTCATAGTGTGTGTACATATATAGGATGTTCGGTGCCTTACAGATAATGAAGACAAATCAGGGAAATTTTATTTTGCAAAAGCCCAGATGAGTTTTACAGATACCAGCATCATTTTAAGAAAGTTCATATGTAATAAAGAGATATAAACAAGGCAGTAGCTTAAGTAAATAACGAAGTGGTCACTAAATCTGAAATATTTTAAGAAAAAAAAGGCAAAATATTAATTGAAAACAGTTTTTTATTATGGCAAAATATTAATTGAAAACAGTTTGTTTATTATGGCAAAATATTAATTGAAAACAGTTTGTTTATTATGACTTGCTCTTGTTTAGACAATAATATTAATGTTCTTTTAAAATAAGAAAAATGTAGCTGGTTACTATAAATGGGTAAAAAGTCTGTATTAACAGCTTTTCATTTGAGAGTTGCACAGTTGTCACATCCTAATTTAGTATATACTCAAGAAATAGCTTATTTAGGAAAGAAGATCTACTTCCTATCATCTGACACTGTTTATTGTTTCTAAACAAAGAATATGACAATAACCATCTAAAACAGTGAGACTGATTGATCTAGTGGTGTTTGTGCAGCAGTTTGTTCATAAGCTGTATATAGAAAACACTTTGTTTTAATCAATTAAGATTATTGGAGACACTCCTGTGTAGGATCAATAGGCATTTAGCCTTCTCTTCCTCCGTATGTTAGAGTGGATTGTCATAGATCAATCGAGATAATGGCCCTGGCTTGAGAGATTGTTAATTAAATTGCTGTTTACTTGTGAGTGCTGGCTCAGTGGTTAAATTTCCATTTGCTGTTAAAATATCTTTGATAATGATCAGTAGACATGATACAAAGTAGTTATGTTGTGGGTGTAACCTGGTTTTGATTACAGAAATAATCTTTTTGAAAATCATGACATCAAACATTAATTACCTCCCCATGAGAAATATGGCACACATTTGATGAAATGTGAGTTCAAATCCCTCATGAAAACAAGATGTGTTTGTGAAACACTAATGCCTATGGCAACATAATAAGCAGACTGAAAGGTTAAACTCTCTCAAATACATTCAAATATGTTGATACTCAAAGTAAGACCTTCTCAAAAGAAATACAGTGTGAAACATGAAAGCTTTAGTGTCACCTTTTCAAAAGTTTTGACCAAGGTTAAAGTTATTTTTATGGTGGGTCAAATTCCAGGGTCAAGGTCAAAGGGCCAAAGTTGTTGGTTTCTTGAGAATGGTCTTGTCACTAGGATTACATTTGTGAAGTTTGAAAGTCCTAGCACCAACCGTTCGAAAGTAAAAGTTTGGTATTTTTGTGTAAAAGTGTGTCAAATTCCAAGGTCAAAAGGTCAGATTTGGTGGTACCCAAAGAAAGGTCTAGTCACAAGGAATATATCTCTGAAATATGAAAGTCATTGCCCCACCCAGTCAAAAGTTATAGGCAAGGTTAAAGTTTTTGTGGATAAACAGACAGACGGACAGAGAGGGCAGAAACTATATACCCCTGAATCTTCAATTACAGGGGCATAAAAATATGTGTACAGTCAAATTCGTTATCTTGAACCTGATGGGACTGGGAAAAAACTTCAAGATATCCAAAGGTTCGAGATATCAAAGGTAAAATACTGAAAGAATATACATTTGGTTGAGACTTCCAAATCACTTCGACATATCCATGGTATTCGAGAGTTCGAGATACTTCGAGAGTTGTAGATACCGAAGTTCAACTGTATTTGTAATTTAGATTTCAGCATTTTCATTTAAATTATGGGTAAATTAATGTGTTGTGAGATGTGTTAAATATATATACTCATTGCCATAGTTATTGCAAAGAAGATTGCATAATTTTGACATTTCTGATATTTTTCAGGGAAAGACATCGAGGAGGCATAGCAGCAGGCTGGAAGGTGGTCCACAAGAATGGGGTGACAGTGGACAATCGCCTGGAGAACCTGATGCTGGTTCCCATGGATACACAACTTGTCTACGAGGACCTCCCCTCTACAAAGAACAGGGAGCACTCATTGTACTGGATGGCAGTTCAACAGCTCCAAGTGGCCCCTATAGAATGTGTGAGTTATTGTACTACATGTAAATCAATACATTTTACCCCATCTCTCTCTGAATGTTACAGACGCATGTTATATATGGGTATATAAGCATGTTTAATGTATTCCTTTGTTATGATTTGATTTGAATAGAATATTTGACCTAATGACCTTGATCTTGAAGTTTTTTGCAGATTTTGAAAACTTTATTCATATCTTTTAAAATTTCAAAACTTTAATTTTTTCTGAATAATGGGCAGACAAGAAAGGATATACAAAGAAGACAGTTACAACATGCCATTATTTATTGCATCCCATCACTATTAAAGACACTGAAAGTGGGGATCCTTGTTCTTTTAATTTGCTTGTGCATATAAAGAGGCTAATTTTTCTTACTAGTTTTAAAATAGTTCACATGGTCCAAATTGTATGGTATTGAGTTATTGTCACAGATATTTGATGTTACTAATTAATGCTTTTTATTTGTTTTAGCACTATCCAACTACACATGTCTACACAAAACAGTTCAGTCCCAATGGAGAAAATATCCATATAGACCATGGTAAATTAGCAATTCAAAGTGAATAACTGATATATATCGTTGGATAGTTTTGTTTTAAAGCATTTAGAACACCATAATTTTGATTTAATATTAAGACTGCTTATTAAAATAAAAAATTTGGAAATAAATGATATAGACTTTGGAATTTAATGTTTGGGTCCAAGATTATGTGTATTATGGAGCATTCTTTTTTTTCGATTCAGATGAAGTCTGTGTTTATTATGAATGTCACTACCCTCCCTGTACAAATATGGAAAAGAGAGTTAAAGAATTTAGTATCTGTGGACGCTGTCAAGAAGTCAGGTCTGTCATATTGGCTCTTTGAAAAATTGCTTAATGAAATTCATGAATGTATAAATGTATAATCATTGGTGCCCGACCTTAAAAGAAAATGTAAGTTTTAATTCATGTCAAAAGTTATTATACAATTTTGCATACTTTGTTGCACAGAAATCATTTTAATTTTGTTGTTTTACAGTAATTTGAAAGTTGGGAATTGTTTGAAATTGATGCAAGGTCTTGATATCACGATGTTAAAGAATTGCTTTTTCATTTAATATTCAGATATTGTGGTGCATATTGCCAACAGAGAGACTGGCCAATACACAAGAAGTTTTGTCAAGAGAGAAAACTCTTTTTCCCCCTGGAAGAAGAAAGTGTTGACAGATAGAGCAAGAATGAGAGAAAGTTCAGATAGTAAAAGATTGAATGAGAGAAAATTTTCAACACAAAGTCTGAAAGAAAGAAAAATCAAGATTATAAAAGATTGAATGAGCATGACTGTATCTGAGTGTGCACCATATAACACTTCAAACTCACATTTCTCAGCTTTGTAAGTTTTCTTAGTATGTTTGAACATACATGTATTATTTTGTTTTTAATTTATTTTTAGAATTTATTTTACTAAACTTTTACATAATGGGATTCTCTACAAAGTAGTTAAAATCAAGTTCAACAAACAAATGAATTATTTCAAAGATTGCTATTAGCATAGACTTTTAAGGAAAATTGTTTGGTAAAAATATTCAATCTAAATATTGAAGTAAAAAATTCTGAGAAAGTTTATTTGGGGATATCTTTGTTTTCTCTGTGTGTCCTGTAAGTCATTGTTTGAGTGGATAATTTTTGTTTTTTCTGTAGCAGAGATAAGCTTTTAGAGTTTTGCGTGTATGTTGTTAGTTTGCAGAGAAGTTGACGTATTTATTCCCTTAGACCATTCCATTGTCATATTGTTATATATTTATTTTTAATTCAGCATGTAGAACAACAGTATTGTATAAAATTTTAAATATGTGCTATCCTAGTCATAAATTCTGTGAAATCATTTATTTTTGTAGGGGCCAGAATTCACATCAGATTTTAATATTTTTAAAATATCTTTTTTGATATTTCTTGGAAGTCTTGAATTCGATTATATATTGTTTTCTAGGATTGGTGATGAAAGCCTCTACAAAGTAAACAATTTTACAGTCACTCCATAGAAAAACACACAAAACAGTGGTTACTGTACAAAGGAGTGCTAGATTTTTGTGTTTTTTTATGAACTTATTTTGTCTTATAGTTTCTCAAAATTTGAATTGTATTGAAAACAATATTTGATAAGGAAAATTAGTTTATGGCTAAATGTTTTCTTTTCATGACTGTTTTTTAACTTTGAACACATTGTCAACTTTTTGATTGAGTGCTTTTAATATGTTACACTTTCTATTTAGCATTTATTCCTACGCATTGAAAAAATTACATACATACATACATACATACATACATGTACTATACTAATACAGTGCCATCTGAAACTAAATTGCTTTTTTTAACCTGTGTGCCACTAATCTTGTCTTAATGAAATACTGTAATGATTTTTACACTAGATTCAAAATCAGCATTGCATGATTTATATTTATAGATTTAAGACCATTCCAAACTGTTTACATTCCCTTTAGATAATCATTTTTTCTATATTTTTATTTGTTGCCAATGAAGTCAATTTCTTCAACAGAAGAAATCTGAAAATTTATATATATATGAATTGACAAAGATACCTTATTTGATTATTTTTGACATTAACAATTTTTTTTCTTAATTAAGCTTAGCTAATTTTCGTAAATGTTTGATATGCATGTATTTTTACTTCTCCGTCCAAAAGTGGTTTTTAGTGTGGACATTTTCTTTTTTTCTGCCATCTAAAGAGAAATAATTCATTTAATAATACAGTGAATTTGCCCAACACACTCTCAGTTAAAGGAAGGATGATACATTCCTCAATAATACATAATTTTTTCCAAGATTTTTTCAAAGAAGTATGTATATTGCTACTTTAATATGTTTACTCACAAAAAAAATTTAGGTACCTAACCAGGCATTTGTGCAAGTTATCAGAGGGTACTGTTTCTTATATGAAAAAATCTATTTGGGATAAAATTTGATATTCCAAAATCAACCTTTTTAGTGCTTCAATTTTTGAAAATGATTAAAAACTTGTTTAGAAACCAGAATGTATTTAGAATTTTGAATATTTATATATCATACATATATATTACAAAATATATAAAACAGATATTTGAGGAAGGTGTCATCTAACCTTAAAAAAGATTTGGAAAGGCATTATCTAATATTTGAATATAAGAAAATTTGGAATAACAAGCATATTTGGCCACTTGTGTCCTAGAATGTCACTAGTATTTTGACACCAAGTCATAGATCTCTAGTCATGATATTTGATTTCGTGTCTATATTGCAGCAAAAAAAGTTATGGGATATGCTTTGCCGTTTCATAATCAACCACTAGCAAGCTTTCCAATTGCCACTGATAAATGTTATGAAAGCTCCCATTGTCATCTCTGCATATCTTAATGAATATTCATGATTTTGTTTTTTTATTTCCCAGCATGCATTATTGTGTTGTGTCACTAATCAAACTAATAATTATTATATATATTTATGATTTGTTTTAATGATTAACAGTGCAATATAGTTATAGTCAAGATATCTACAACATATTTGATTTGTTTGTTTTTACAGTTTGAATAAACTAACCGTTTTACAGGTCCAGTTGCTTTCTGTTTTGAAATTAACATTCCACATGATTGGCGATTCATTCTCTTTACATTATAGAGCAGCATTGTGTTTCTGAGTGTAGTTGCATGCACCCTTTATTAACACAGATGTGGGAAACTACAAGATGTATGTTAAAGGTGGACTACCCAATCAGACAGAACATTCTTAGTTAAAACGACGTTTCATACACCTTTATGCTAATCATTTCCACCATTTTTTTTGTATTGTCATTGTTGTTATATAATATCAAAGAAAAGTCCATTTTTGTTTATGTAAATCTGCCACTGTTAAGAACTTTGCATTCAATGTTTTCAAGAAGCAGGTTTCTGATAGGAAGAGGGATGGGTGGGATGACCATCCAATTCTATGGGCATGAAGGTTAATTGGTTATAAGATGGATTTTGGCATTTTATGATGCGGTATATTTTTTTCACATCTTGGTCTCTCTATTGATTTGAACACTACTTGCACGATGTGAATTGTATTCAATGTATTAAGTGTATTAATATAATTAGTTAACATAAAGTACAGTATATATACTTTCACGTGTTTCCTTTATGAATAAGCTATTATTGAACCGTTGTAAGTTCTATTTTTTCTCTACTTAACATTTTATTAAGGTGTAGTACCCAATAATGTTGTAGTACTACCAAAGAACGGGTAGGGGTTATTTTTCGAAGCATACAGCCAAATTTCGATGTTCCGATAAATTAATCAGAATTGGTAGACCAGTAACAAGGGCCAGGTCATTGTGTTGTAAAACATTCTTTCATTAATACAGAATGCGAATACTATAGCCACAACATATTAAAGTAGAAGCATCCTCTGGAAGTTCCAAATCATGGTCCCTGTGTAAAGGTGGGGTCATGAAAAATAATCAAAATTATACAATACCAACATAGCGAAGATTAAACTTCTGGAATGCAAATCAAATGTATTGGTACCCAAAGTAAGGTCTTCTCACAAGAAATACAGTTGTGAAATATGGAAGTCCTAACACCACCTGATCAATAGTTATGGCCAAGGATAAGTTTCTGAAAGGTAGGCCAAACTCAAGGTCAAAGGGCCAAAGTTTTTGATTTCAAAAGAAAGACCTTGTCACAAGGATCCCGTAAGTGAAGTATGAAAGCCTTTGCCATAATCCTTCAAAAGTTATGGCCAAGGTTAAAGTTTTTTAAAAAGAGGGTCAAACTCCAAGGTCAAAGTTCTTGATATCCAATGAAAGGTCTTGTCACAAGGATTAAATATAAAGTATGAAAGCCCTAACCTTCAAAAGTTATGGTCACGGTCAAAGTTGTTGGTATCCAATGAAAAGTCTTCTCACAAGGATTACAAATGTGATATATGAAAGCCCTTGCCCTTGCCTTTCAAGAGGAATGGCCGAGGTAAAAGGTTTTTTTTAAAGTACGTAAATATCTCAGGTTAAGGTCAAGGTTGTTAGTATCCAATGAAAGGTCTTGTCACAAAGAATGCAAAGTATGAAAGTCCTTGTATTTACCGTTCAAAAGTTATGGCCAAAGTAAAAGTTTGGAATTTTTGTGTAAAAGAAGGGCCAATCTCGAAAGTCAAAAGCTCTTAAGTTTGGTGGTACCCAAAGAAAGGTTTTGTCACAAGGAATACACATGTGAAATAGTAGTATGAAAGTCATAGCTCCAGTAAATCAAAGTTTTGGGCAAGGTTAAAGATTTTGCGGATAAAGAAACAGACAGATTAGACAGACGGACGGAAAGTCGGACACGACAAAAACTATACCCCCGGATCTTCGATTACGGGGGCATAAAAAAGCCAATCCAGATTAGAAGACCATAGAGAGTTAGTTGAGCATTGTGGCTCAAGGACCTTTTGTTAGCTGCATATTTTAAGCCCCATATAATCGAAGATCTGGGGGAATAGGCGCTTTGCTTTGTCGATCCGTTTGTCTGTTTGTCCGCCAAAACCTTTGATTGGTTGGAACTTGGAACTATGGCTTTGATACGAGTATTTGTACATTGTATTCTTTATGGCAAGACCTTTCTTTCTGTACTAAAGCATTTGATCTGTTGGCCTTAGAGTTTGGCCCATTTTACAAATTTTTACCAAACTTTAACATTTGCCATAGTGTTTGAACAGTTTCACACTAAACAGTTGTATTCCTACAGGGATAACTAAATCCTTTCCTGAAGCAGCAGTGCTCATGAAATTAAACTTTGATAAAAAAAAAAGAAAAGAAAGAAATAGCCATGTTTTGAATGATTGGAACTAGGACTTTTACGTGTATTTCTTGTGTCAAGTTATTCCCCCTGGCCCTAGGATCAGGAGAAAGACTTGTAGTCAAATTTTCAATCACCAGTAAAATATTTATTATTAAATATTTACATTTCCAATGCCTTTATCCGAATAAAGTTACATGTTGTATTAAAAAGTACTCTATTTCTACAAAAATCTACTGGTTCATCGATAGGCGCGGTTAAAAAAATCAAGTGCGGGGCGGAACAGAAAGAGACGGAAGCGGGGCTTGTAGCACATGCATTTGCGGAATCAATAGCATATGTAATAAAATTAATAAAATTACTAGTATAAGGAATAGCTGTCAGGTTAAACGTTTTTGCAAATTATCACGCAAGCCAATCGATTTATCAAATGAAAAAAAAAATTAGAGTTATCTCTTAATTGAATTAACATTCGCAGAATTAGAAAAAAGCACATTTGTAACGAAATAAAATTAGAACTAGATACGATCTCGTTGCAAGCAACGAGGGGTCTTCCGTCCGATTCTGAAGTAAAAACGATAAATCTAGCAGAAAAAGTGATAAAAAAAATCGGACATTCGGGGGAGCGAACCCGGGTCGCCCGCGTGACAATCCGACGCACCAACCATTCAGCCATTGAAAACACCGCTTCAAATTTTTAAATACGAAAATCTCGAGATTGCCTTTTTTGATTCTAAAACAAATTACATAGTTTGCATTCGCAAAGAAGTCGCTGTTATGATATTTCATACCAAAGAAAAATATTGGAAAACAAAAAAGTTGAAAAAATGCGGATTTTTAAATTCGCTTCCGGTATCGACCGGAAGCACTGACGGAGATTTGAAAGTATAGGTGCAAAACTACAACATGTCATCTATTAGTCCTGAAAATGACAACATTCTAGCTTTTGTCGTTTTTGAGTTTTTGTGTCGACAAAATGGTCACTAAAAATTCGATTAAAGGGCGATAACTCCCGACCGGAAGTGATTTTTCAAAACTTAAAAAAAATAAATCAAGTTTAGATCATGATACACCATCTCTGAAAATTTCAAATAAATCCGTCCATGCATCTCTGAGAAATCTTCTGCACAAAAATTGTATAGCAAAAAAAAAATAATAACTAGAGCCGAGCTCGTTGCAAAGCAACGAGTAGGTTTTCCGTCCTGTTTGACCGGAAGTAGCTTTCATTTTTAACAAAAATGAGAAATAACGCCTAAAAATGGTTTGAATCCTCTAAAGCTATGCTAATTAATGCAAAAATATGCAATTTTTCGCTACTTCCAGTTTAACCGGAAGTGATGACGACGGACGGAAAATTAATTTTTATGCTCCTAGAGACATATGTTACCCAAAAACTTGACAAGAACGGCAAAAATACGCGTTTTTGGCTACATCCGGTTTGACCGGAAGTGACGACGCCGGACGTATTTTGACGACACGAATAGATTAAGCTTGACATTTTAAACAACTTTGCTTCCTTGACGTATTACAAATTCTCAATACTTTTTGAGATATCAATTAAAAACTTTTGGCCCCTCTAGATCCCTTATTTCAGGGGTAAGCCCTTTTTTCGAGATATCAATTGAAAGATCTTAGAATTCTTCACAACTTTTGTTCTATATGTCTTAAAAAAATAATTACAAGTAAAATGATATAATAGAAGTAGTGTTAGAAATTTTGAAACGCTCAATATGACTTTTTTCAGTCCATACCGAGCGTTAACGAGCAGTACTTCCGGTGAAAGTTAACAACACAATGCAAATCTACATATGTTGCTCTATCTTCTTGAAAAGGTTTCATCTTCCTGTGATGAGTG